CTTGTAAATTTATAGTCACACATATAACAGCACTGTAACAACTGTCAATCAAAACTAAAAAAAAATTGCACACTACAATCAGGAGTAAAAAAGAATTAACAAAAAGATCAAATTAATCATTGTTGAGAACATAATTACTACATGTAGGAAACTTATAGCTGATTTACCCTTTCTTAAAAAGCTACTACTTTTTGTTATTGCCTTCTGCAACAGTATATATTGGCAAGCTATATCATAAGAAACATTCAAAAACACACTGTAAATCTTTGAACCAATACTTAGAAGGGGCAAAATATATATTAAGTTGTGTCTACATGCACTTGACTTTGTATGGTTGTTATTTTCATTAGGCATGCAATACATCACACTTTTCTATCATTTACTACTGACTATTAACTCATGCAAGATGTCAGGAAAAAATGAGGAGATGGAAAATCACAGGCCTGTAAAGCTACAATGACATAGGTTCATCATTACAGGTACAATAAACAATAGATTTTTGACCACCCTCTTTTTCTCAAAATTAGTTTTAACAACTACCTACACTTCTACAGAGCCTCTTCTTATACCACTAGTCAAGGAGGTTGGCTCTGTCTCAAAGAACTTATATAAATGGTCTTAACCCTTCATAAAGAATAAGAGGAAGCTACTTTGGCCAGTTACCATGGTGATATAAGTAACTACTGGGAGAAAGGAACAGGTTTACCTGACAGGGGTCCAGAGGAAATAAATACAATGGGTGTGTGCTCATTGCATGCCTTTGATGATCTGTTGAAACAAAAAAGGCTATGATGACCAAGTATATTCACTGAAACAGCCATTGAGGCCATGACTGTCTAAGGAAGAAAGAATCTCTTGCAGTTTTTGGGAAGCAAGTGAAATAAATAGTGACAAATTGTGGTGGAGAGAGATGGAGCAAAATATTCAGAGAGAACTTATAGCTAAAAGCTTCAAAAAGCCAGTGCAAATTACCCTGAAGTTTATATTCATTGTCACTAATTGTCCACAATCCACAAAATGAAATCTTTGCAATGCTAATTCATGCAGCTGCATGTAATCCATAAAGCATTTTAAAGGAATCCTGTTCAGGTAATAACTTTTCAATACGATTTGGTGATAATAAGCACAAGTAAAATTTTCAAAGACAACATAATTGCAAGAGTGCATAAGGCAAGTGCAATTTGTACATGTGTAGCACTTATTCACAATTTTAACAGCATACTATTTATAATCTGCACTTGTGTCACAACTTTGCACCTGTGCTGCATGAAAAATGCACTTGTTCTCAGCCAATAAGAAGTGCATAATTTTTTCATGAATACATTATCATGCATTTAATCGTCAAACTTTACTTGACCACTCACATTCTTTAAGAATGGAAAGACTTACAAACAAAAGGGATACTTACTTGATAGTCTCAATGAAATTGTTTTGACAGTCTTCCAACACAATAAGAGCCATCCTCACAGAGTTGCATAACTTTGAAGTTAATGCAATGCTTGATTCCTAATGTTAACAGTAAATCCTGATAGTCTCCAGCTTCTTGATGATGATTGTTGTTGAATCTGAACTTTTTGCTGAGGACACATACAGGCATGCTCCCTTTCCACTTTCCTTTTCCTGTAATTACAGTAAGTTGGCCATATTAGTACAGCTGTTACACTTTTAAAATTCACCAAACCTGACTACCTATTTATTATCTTACTATTATAATAATACTTACTATTGTCACTTTTATCAGCTTTTGTCTTTGTTCCAGCTTAATTGTTTTTGTCATTGTAATCAGCACTTGAGCCATTCAGCTGGTAACCAGTCAACTCGCCGACGGACCAACTCGCCGACGCCAACTCGCCGACGTATAAAATCGAGTAGAGACGTCGGCGAGTTGGTCGTCGATCCAATACAACTCATTAGAAGTTAAACATACAGAAAATTAAACGATATTTAGTAAAAAAACACAGGTGAACATTGGTGAACATCTAACAGAAGCTTAAACATTGATGAACATTGATGAACATCACCAATGACTATAACAGCTTAAGACGAGAACGAGTTATTGTGCGACAACACCGTAAAGACTCATCATGTCAATCGCTCAGATTTTTTAACGAAAACTTGGCTTTCTAGACAAGTTCTTTAGTCAAAAGCATTTCTTTTTATTTGCAACAAAGTTTATAAGGATCTCAAGGCGAATAAAGGGAAATAAACATCACCAATGACTCAAACAGCTTCAAACGCGAAGAGTTATTGTGTGACAACAACACTGTAAAGACTCATCATGACAATCGGTCAGATTTTTTCAGAAAACTTGGCTTTCTAGATAAGATCTTTAGTAAAAAGCAATTATTTTTATTTGCAACAAAGTTTATAAGGATCTCAAGGCGAATAAAGCGACGTTAACATCACCAATGAACAAAATTGGCTGTAGACGCCAATGAGTTGTGTGAGTCATTGGTGATGTTTACTTCGCTTTATTCGCCTTGAGATCCTTATAAACTTTGTTGCAAATAAAAAGAAATGCTTTTTACTAAAGATCTCGTCTAGAAAGCCAAGTTTTCGTTAAAAAATCTGAGCGATTGACATGATGAGTCTTTACGGTGTTGTTGTCGCACAATAACTCGTTCGCGTCTTAAGCTGTTATAGTCATTGGTGATGTTCACCAATGTTTAAGCTTCTGTTAGATGTTCACCCATGTTCACCAGTGTTTTTTTACTAAATATCGTTTAATTTTCTGTATTTTTAACTTCTAATAAGTTGTATTGGATTGACGACCAACTCGCCGACGTCTTTACTCGATTTTATACGTCGGCGAGTTGGTCCGTCGGCGAGTTGACCGTAATTCATTCGGCTTATACTATTTTGCGAAACGAAACGAAACGAAACGAAACGAAACGAAACGAAACGAAATCGGGTCAGATGAAATAAAACAAAAGGAATAATGCAGATATATTTTCAAATAAGGTAAAGATAACTTTCACAAGGATTTTGGAGAAATCGTTCATTAATAAGAAGGATTTTTATTCATTTCGCAAAATAGTAATTTTAGGAGAGTTACTATTTTGCGAAATGGACTATTTTCACTCTGCGGTGACAACGTGACCTCTTTCATGTCGCGAAAATACATTTAAACATTACAAATTAGTATATAACCGAACATTTTGGCCTCCTCTTATTTCTTAAACCGTATTAAAATATATTTCGCAAAATAGTAATTTTAGGAGAGTTACTATTTTGCGAAATGGACCATTTTCACCCCTGCGATGACAACGTGACCTCTTTCATGTCACAAAAATACATTTAAACATTACAAATTAGTATATCACCGAACATTTTGGCCTCCTCTTATTTCTTAAACCGTATTAAAATGTATTTCGCAAAATAGTAATTTTAGGAGAGTTACTATTTTGCGAAATGGACAATTTTCACCCTGCGGTAACAACGTGACCTCTTTCATGTCATAAAAATTCATTTAAACATTACAAATTAGTATATCACCGTACATTTTGGCCTCCTGTTATTTCTTAAACCGTATTAAAATGTATTTCGCAAAATAGTAATTTTAGGAGAGTTACTATTTTGCGAAATGGACTATTTTCACCCCTGCGGTGACAACGTGACCTCTTTCATGTCACAAAAATACATTTAAACATTACAGATTAGTATATCACCGTACATTTTGGCCTCCTCTTATTTCCTAAACCGTATTAAAATGTATTTCGCAAAATAGTAATTTTAGGAGAGTTACTATTTTGCGAAATGGACCATTTTCACCCTGCGGTGACAACGTGACCTCTTTCATGTCGCGAAAATACATTTAAACATTACAAATTAGTATATAACCGAACATTTTGGCCTCCTCTTATTTCTTAAACCGTATTAAAATATATTTCGCAAAATAGTAATTTTAGGAGAGTTACTATTTTGCGAAATGGACCATTTTCACCCTTGCGATGACAACGTGACCTCTTTCATGTCACAAAAATACATTTAAACATTACAAATTAGTATATCACCGAACATTTTGGCCTCCTCTTATTTCTGAAACCGTATTAAAATGTATTTCGCAAAATAGTAATTTTAGGAGAGTTACTATTTTGCGAAATGGACAATTTTCACCCTGCGGTAACAACGTGACCTCTTTCATGTCATAAAAATTCATTTAAACATTACAAATTAGTATATCACCGTACATTTTGGCCTCCTGTTATTTCTTAAACCGTATTAAAATGTATTTCGCAAAATAGTAATTTTAGGAGAGTTACTATTTTGCGAAATGGACTATTTTCACCCCTGCGGTGACAACGTGACCTCTTTCATGTCACAAAAATACATTTAAACATTACAGATTAGTATATCACCGTACATTTTGGCCTCCTCTTATTTCTTAAACCGTATTAAAATGTATTGCGAAATGGACAATTTTCACCCTGCGGTAACAACGTGACCTCTTTCATGTCATAAAAATTCATTTAAACATTACAAATTAGTATATCACCGTACATTTTGGCCTCCTGTTATTTCTTAAACCGTATTAAAATATATTTCGCAAAATAGTAATTTTAGGAGAGTTACTATTTTGCGAAATGGACCATTTTCACCCCTGCGATGACAACGTGACCTCTTTCATGTCACAAAAATACATTTAAACATTACAAATTAGTATATCACCGAACATTTTGGCCTCCTCTTATTTCTTAAACCGTATTAAAATGTATTTCGCAAAATAGTAATTTTAGGAGAGTTACTATTTTGCGAAATGGACAATTTTCACCCTGCGGTAACAACGTGACCTCTTTCATGTCATAAAAATTCATTTAAACATTACAAATTAGTATATCACCGTACATTTTGGCCTCCTGTTATTTCTTAAACCGTATTAAAATGTATTTCGCAAAATAGTAATTTTAGGAGAGTTACTATTTTGCGAAATGGACAATTTTCACCCTGCGGTGACAACGTGACCTCTTTCACGTCACGAAAATACATCTAAACATTACAAATTAGTATATCACCGAACATTTTGGCCTTCTCTCATTTCTTAAACCGTATTAAAATATATTTCGCAAAATAGTAATTTTAGGAGAGTTACTATTTTGCGAAATGGACTATTTCACCCCTGCGGTGACAACGTGACCTCTTTCATGTCACAAAAATACATTTAAACATTACAAATTAGTATATAACCGAACACAACATGACAGTTTTCCAGTGGCGTCTAAACATGTTTAGACTCTCCGTCTCGTATAGAGAACAGAAGCATATCCATGCCGAAATAGTCGTCCAGCAGTTTTATAATCGCAAGTAATACAGTTCCTTTGCTTCAAAATTTTTAATAAAAATAATATACATGGAAAAGTTACGCGTACGCGCTTCTGATTACACCCCCGTCGCACACCTCTTCCTTACGAGCAAGAGATCGTGTTTCGCATTTGCGCAAGTTCAACGTGCTTTTGTTTGTTTAAATGAATTTTTATGACATGAAAGAGGTCACGTTGTTACCGCAAGGTGAAAATTGTCCATTTCGCAAAATAGTAACTCTCCTAAAATTACTATTTTGCGAAATACATTTTAATACGGTTTAAGAAATAACAGGAGGCCAAAATGTACGGTGATATACTAATTTGTAATGTTTAAATGAATTTTTATGACATGAAAGAGGTCACGTTGTTACCGCAGGGTGAAAATTGTCCATTTCGCAAAATAGTAACTCTCCTAAAATTACTATTTTGCGAAATACATTTTAATACGGTTTAAGAAATAAGAGGAGGCCAAAATGTTCGGTGATATACTAATTTGTAATGTTTAAATGTATTTTTGTGACACGAAAGAGGTCACGTTGTCATCGCAGGGGTGAAAATGGTCCATTTCGCAAAATAGTAACTCTCCTAAAATTACTATTTTGCGAAATATATTTTAATACGGTTTAAGAAATAAGAGGAGGCCAAAATGTTCGGTTATATACTAATTTGTAATGTTTAAATGTATTTTCGCGACATGAAAGAGGTCACGTTGTCACCGCAGAGTGAAAATAGTCCATTTCGCAAAATAGTAACTCTCCTAAAATTACTATTTTGCGAAATGAATAAAAATCCTTCTTATTAATTCAGCTTTTATTTGCCTCTTTTTGTTTTGGGAAGGAAATATCTTGTGGCGTTTCCTCCATGGCCTGTTTCTTGCCCTCTTCTTTTGTAACCACTGAAGGTTGCCACTTATCACTCTGCATATACCCACTAGACATAATGGTGCTCTCTGTGCCACCTCTGTCTTTCTTTACATGAACATTACTTTTTCCATTTGATACATGATGATAATAGTGATATGGATGGAGTGGCAGCAGCTGTGTGTGGTTCACATCACCCCATGACATTTGCTTTGCTGGGATAGGCACACCACTCTTCTCCTCATGACTAGTCTTGCTGATGCATAGGTGATAAAGGGATCAAGAGTGGATTAATGTGATTATATGCACATTGTTAGCTGTCATAGCCATGTAAATATGACAAAATTGAAGGTGCGTGTAGACCCCAATTTGAGGCTGGAATTTGCCAATCTTTAGGGCTTGCTGTTGCAGCACCTGGTTAAAACTTGGAATTAGAGGGTTTTTGTACTGCATAAGACCATCACATACATGTAAAACCACAAGCTCAAGTAATCTCAAAAGTTCTCCTCAAGTGCATGATTGTACTACTAACACTACATAATATTACAAGGGCAACCAAAACAGTCCCAACAGGGATGGAGGAGTGCTTCATTTAGGTTGCAGGATGAGTTGCTCCATCCCATATACTGTAAGTAAGTACTGTACATTATGTCAGCAGCCAACTTTTGGTTCACATTGAAGCTCTAGGTGTTGACATCAAAAATCCAAAACTTTTCAAATATAAAGTATCAAATATTATCAAATCCTTACAAAACAAGTGCTAAACACATAAAGCAGACAAGTTGCTACAACTAGCCCACTTACTCTGACCTACAACTAAGCAACTGGGTTATAAGCAGGGAAAACTATAATTTTGAGGGAACACATGGTATGCAGTTTTCAAAGGCTTGCAAGTTATAAATGTATTGGCTCCTTTTGCAGCTTGTTCCATAAGATAGCACTTAACCCTTTAACTCCCAAGATCTAATTAGCAGTTTCTCCTCACTGTCTGCCATACAGTTCTTGTGATGTTAGTTTGGAGAATTTGGTATTGAGTCAACTTATAATCACCTAACTGATATTTTTCTTCATTCTCATCACTTGTCCACTTGATATTGTATTGATATTGTAGGGAGAAATTCTGTCTTGGTCACTAATGGGAGTAAAAGGGTTAATCAAATAATATTTTCACAATCACAATCACAATCATTGTTCCTTGATGATAGAAAATCTGCATCAAATTTCCTTTTTCTAACAATGCCAGGCCTCTTTGATTTAGGAGTAACTGCAACAACATGTTGAAGAAATTTTTAAGACAATGTCTCCCTTGTAAAGCTACATGAATCACATTATTATTTGGCAATTATATTTTTGTTTTGCAAGGTGTGCAAGTATTCACCAGACTGAAAAGGGCTATACTGCATGTCACAATAAAATGGAAAGGAAATGAGCTGAATTGAAGTAAAATCTACCTAATTATAACTGAGAGAACATTTTAAGAAATCTTCAAGTGACCTTACAATTTTATTAAAGGGACCAAATTGTGTATGGCTCCCAACAACATTTTCAATATGCACACAGCTAATTAATAATAATTAATATAACTGAGTAATGAAGCTGTGTGCATATTGAAAATGTTGTTGAGAGCCATAAAATTAAAATTATTTTAATTTTGTTTTGTGTTTGCTTCAAAAAAGTTGTATGTCCAGGAAGAAACTGAGAACCAGAACCAAGATGTTTCACAAAATGAGCTACCAATTATTAAAAAGAATTTGGTTTGGTGGTTTGATAAATTGACAACTGTCCTGCAGTTTTTTTCCCTCTCTTTTGTTTTGTGTTGTCTTTTTTTGAGGGATTACGGCATAACACACCACTCAAAATTCACTGTCACTTGCAGTTAATTCCATTGCTTAGTACCAGTAGTAATAGTAAAACATGAATGAATTTTTGACCCAAAGCACATACCAATTGGCTGGGTAATTTAAAAAAGAAATCCACTGTTAAATTGACAACTGTCCTGGTTTTTTTCCCTCTCTTTTGTTTTGTTTTGTCTTTTTTGAGGGATTAAGGCATAACACACCACTCAAAATTCACTGTCACTCTGAATATACTCTAAAAATAATGTAAGGCATTTTAAAGCAAGCATGACTTAATCAAACTCTACATGATAGATACATGTACCTGTTTATTGTCCTGGTTGCGTTATCAGGCAATTTACTGCACTTCCCAGATCACACTCCAGCGTCAAGCATTTGAACACAAGCTCATCAATGTACTGCTCTTGCATCAAGTATCTGACAGAATCCAGGAAAAACTTGTAAATTTATAGTCATAACAGCACTGCAACAACTGTCAATCAATACTAAAAAAAATTGCACACTACAATCAAGAGCAAAAACGATTTAATAAAAAGATCAAATCATTGTTGAGAACAGTTCAAACCAGTCAATCTTTGAGTTGTTAATTACTACATTAGTACATCAGAGTGATTGGAATTGCTCCGATGAAGGGCTAACGCTGGAAACGTCAGCTTTTTTACCCTTTACGCTGGCTAATTTACGTTTTCAACTCAGCTGTTAACACTAAATTACCTACTATACTCTCCCACCGACACAGCACCACAGTTTCTTTAGAAACTTACCCCCTTTATTCATTACTGCAGCTGAGTTACCCTATATAAAAAAGCTATTACGTACTAAAACTGTACTTTTTGTTATTGCCTTCTGCAACAGTATATATTTGCAAGCTGTATCATAAGAAACATATTCAAAAACACACTGCAAATTAATCTTTGAACCAATATTTAGAAGGGGCAAAATTATATAAGTTGTGCCTACATGTACATGTACATGCCCTTGACTCTGTATGGTTGTTATTTTTGGTAGGCATGCAATACACCACACTTTTCTACCATTAAATTTATTACTGTATTAACCCATGCAAGACGTTAGGAAAAAATGAGGAGAGATGGAAAATCACTGGCCTGTAAAGCTTCAATGACATAGGTTCATCATTACAGGTACAATAAACAATAGATTTTCAACCACTCTCTTTTTCTCAAAATTAGTTTTAACAATACCTACATTTCTGCAGAGCCCCTTCTTTTACTACTGATCAAGGAGGTCAGCTCTGTCTCTTTGTAAAGAAAAATGAATTTTGGAAAGGGAAGTAATGGTGCAGATTGTCATGGCAGCTCAATGAATGATCACAAACTTGCAAGTTATGCCGCCAACGAGGTCGCTAACATATGCTAGGATTGCTGCGGAATTAGATTACATGCCTGGTTTGCTAGTGTGCCAACTTATCACCTAGAACCTTTCAATAAAACACCTTCATGTCAACAATGTTTGATACAACGCTAAAACAAACATGACTTTGCGGAGAAAGCCGTGTCACTCTTTGAATCTTAACAAATCCAAGAGCATGCCATTCTATTCAAAAGCTGATCGGTTTTGCACCTTATTTCACCTTTAAATTGTGAAATTTGATTCTAGGAAGCTACAATTGAAAGAATGTAATTATCCTGCGCCATTACAGCCCACAAGTGCTCTGTTTTGCGAATTGCTAGAGGTAAAGTTTACTCCAGTCATGTAAACTTTACCCGGTGCAAAACAAAGTGCTCTGATTGGTCCATTCAGGTAATATTTACCCTTATCGGGTTAACATTTTCCGTGCATATTGTTTTTGGTAAGGGCACAATGTTTCCAACATGTGTTATAACTGGTTTTAACCCTTAATAAGGAATAAGAGAGGGCTACTTTGGCCAGTTACCATGGTGATATAAGTAACCAGGGAGAAAGGAACAGCTTTACCTGACAGGGGTCCAGAAGAAATAAATACAATGGGTGTGTGCTTGTTGTATCATCATCCTTTGGTGATCTGTTGAAACAAAATAGGTTATGATGACCAAGTATATTCATTGAAACAGCCACTGAGGCCATGACTGTCCAGGAGAGAAAGAATCTTCCACAGATTTTGGGAAACAAACACCGCAAAATACATAGTGACAAATTTTGGTAGAAAGAAATGGAGCAAAATGTTCAAAGAGAATTTACCATAGTTTCTTGGCTCTAAGGCACATGGTTTTTACAAGAAAATTCTTTCCTCGGTTGGAAAGTTAATGCTGAAATTGAGGTGCATCCTATAGCCAAGTATTTTTGTGCAACAAAATCTTGAAATCACAATTTTAGCAGAACTTACACTGTAGTTAAAAAGACAAGAAAAGGACACTAACTGTTGAGAGAAAAAGGAGAAAAAGCAGAGCTTTTTGGTCTGAGGTGTAGCGAAGATTACATCAAATTCAAACTTTTATTCCTATGAATTAAAAATGAATACTGCTTTTAGAACACTTACATCAACTTCTATAGAAAAGCAAACAAGTGGAAAGTTACTGAAAGCAAAATGTTCAGAGAGAATTTATAGTTAAAAGCTTCAAAAAGCCAGTGAAAATTACCCTTAAGTTTATTAATTATTGTCACTTATTGTCTACAATCCGCAATGTGAAATCTTCGCAATGCTAACTCATGCAGTTGCACGTAATCCATACAACATTTTAAAGGAATCCTGTTCATGTAATAACTCCTCAAAACAATTTGGTAATAGTTAGCACAAGTAAATTTTTCAATGATAACATAATTGCAAGAGAGCATAAGGCAAGTGCAATTTGTACACATGTAGTCTTTGAAAAATTTACAAGCTCTTATTCACAATTTTAACAGCATACTATTTATAATCTGCACTTGTGTTTCTGATCAACTTTGCACTTGTACTGCATGAAAAATGCACTTGTTTTTAGCCTATCAGAAGTGCATAATTTTTTGTGTTTGTTATCATGCATTTAATTGAACTTTATTTGACCACTCACAATGAAGTATTTAAGAGTGGAAAGACTTACAAACAAAGGGGATACTTACTTGATAGTCTCAATGAAATTGTTTTCTTCACAGTCTTCCAACACAATAAGAGCCATCCTCATGGAGGCACATAACTGTGAAGCTGATGCAATGCTTGATTCCTAATGTTAACAATAAATCCTAATGGTCTCCTGTTTCTTGATGATGATTGTTGTTGAATCTGAACTTTTTGCTGAGGACACATACAGGCATGCTCCCTTTCCACTTTCCTTTTCCTGTAATTAAAGTTGGCCATATTAATGCAACACTTTTAAAATCAAATTCCCCAAACCTGATTGCGTATTAAATAGTCAGTTACAAGGAAACGCTCCTTGCTCACAATCACTTTTCGTTTTTTTCACGATGGCCATATTGAACTAACAGCTAACAAGCAAATGGTGTATTTCTTACGAGTTTGTCCACGACGATAATCGACCTCTCGAGGAAGGCATGGTTTGTTTACCAACGAAGAGCTTTCAAACATCTACCAAAAACCCACAGCAAAACACATGCCCTGTTTAGCACGAGCAAGATTTTTAAAGTAAGACTACTGAAACTTTTAAAGGATCGTATCGCCCGATGAAATGATAACACATACAGACTCACCTCAGCTCTCTTTGCAGTTGTAACAGAATCCTCACTTTTACTTTCGACCATTGTTTAATTGAAGCGGCAGATTGTGATATGATGTTGGACTTCATCCTCTGAAGGCACTGAAGTTCATAACCTTTTTTGCCTTTTTGCTTTGCACTGAAATACAGCCTGTTGAAAAACTCTCGCTCTTCTTGCCAGCGCCAGCGCTCGCGACAATCATCCACGTGTTCTTTCTTGCATGATCTAATAGATATTTCACCCAGTTCTCACCTAATCGTACCATTTTGGCACGCAGTCGAGCCAATATACCCCTGGCGATAACAAAACGAGCCTGATTTGCTGCCGACGCGTAACAGAAAGGTACGTCTAGTTAGTTACTCTTTCTAAATTCAGTAAAATCTCAAGTGATGTTATTTTGAAGTTACGGTGTCACAGTGATATGTGTACCCCCGTGATATGTGTACCCCCGCACACATATCACTAGTGATATGTGTACCCCTGGTAGGGATACACAAAACACTGAAGCTTTGCACCCGGGCCTTTTAGAGCTTCAAAGAAAACATGGTGGCTACGAGGAACAAATTTTGTGGTTTTATATTTTAAAGTTTCCGATCCAAAATATAAACGGAAGAAGATCACAATGCAACTGAATAACAAGGTAAGAGGTGTTTTTATATTTCCAAAACCTTTAAAATAGTTACATGGATTTCAGTCGTTTCGCCAGCATTTAATTTAAGTACCAACGATTAGTTCGCTCGAGCCACTGCTCGAAACTAGCGTTTGTCCTGTCGTTTGCGACAACTTAAAAGTGTGTTTGCGCAATAAGTTGTTTTGGTGGATAAAGGTCTAGAACTTTACCGCGTTTGGAAACTATTTCGTGTTCACGTTCCGTAGTTCACATCAATCACTCACTATACATCAAAACCATTTGAATTCATTTTTAAACGGGGCTTCTATGTTGTTGATATTTTTTTTTGGTTTGTTTTTGTTTTGAAATCTGTACGGCCCTGGACAACCAAGTCCTTATCATGGTAACCGAAGTCTTGGTTTTCCAGTATTTGCCAGTATGGACAGCCTGGATATTTTTCTGCACTGTTTTTGTTGTGTCTAATAAGTGCTCATAAAAACAACAGGCCAACTAATTTGAACTACATGCGAAAGATCAGGTAATTTTATTGATAAATCAACATGGTTGTATAGATTATGAAAATGATTGTTAACTGATAATATTAATCTACTAGTAAAGTGATATCCACTGCATGGTAAGCGATATCTACTTGCAATGTTTCAGTGTTCCTCAAATGTATATGTACTACTTATTTCAGAGCAAACTTTTGTTCTACTTTATAAATGTCACATATTCTTGTAAAATAGCAGTAACACTACAAAAAAACTTAACATTGTTTCAAAGCCTAATAATGCTGATGAATTTGTGAACAAGCCACCTGTAAATCAATGGGCAAACTCTAAAACTGGGTTTGTTACAGAAGTGAAACCTATCAGACAATGCAAAAAAATATCAACAAACTCCAAGAAGGGAAGTACCCTCTGGAAAAAGGCATTTATGGATAGGCTTGTTAACAATGACTAACAAATGGTGATTTTTTTTCTTTTTCAAATTGTGATACTTTTTAATGATTTATTCCATGGTATTGATTTCATCTGTAAAACTCTTGTATTTTATGTAGTTGACAATTAGCACCATGGCTTCATTGAATTACCATTGCCAAAATCATTTACTTTTCCTTTTTCTTGTGCTAGTACTTTAGCCTGAGTTGTCATTGAAGTGTTTTGGCCTGACATTTTGTTGAGTGGTGAGACTTTTTCAGTTTTATGAGGTAGGGGGTTTAATAGTCTTCAGAGGGGTCATGCCAGAACAGTTGGTTTGAAAGTGGAGCCAACCAAATAAAAATGGTCAGTTTGGAGAGGAAGGGGTTTAACCCAAATAACTACTCTTAAGTGTCACACAATTATGGTAACAAGGGGTGGGGGCAGGGAAAAATTTTGATGAAAAGGGGAAGTCATCACATATTATAGTGACTATCTACCACCCCACCACATAAAAATTGACAGTCCCTAATATTTTCAATAACCATTTGCCTTAAAAAATAGATGTCTGTATCTAAGCAATTTGGCAGTTATTGCACTTCCATTGAAACCTTTTATACTTGAAAACTTTGTCAGGAATTTTTTGGCAAGCTTGATGGAACCACTTCTTGCAATTGGTGCATTCTGCCATCTGGTCTTTGGTTGGATTGTATGGGAGGCGGCAGTCACAGTACACTGGCATGGCAACAGTCTCTTCATAACCAATGCTTGATTTTTCCTCAAAGGGGAATATACCAATGTATCCATTTTTAAGGGAATCTAAGAGATGTGCCCTTATTGCCCGCCTGTTGAACTTAAGTGATGTGGGGTCCATATTATGGCAGAGTGCTGTGGCAAATGCAATCACAAAAACTCCACAGTCTGTCCCATTTGTTTGCTGGTCAACAGGAGGGACACAAATTTCAATAACATTGCTGTCTTGGTTGAAAAGAAGGGCACCAATCTGCTCTCTGGTGAATGGCGCAATTCCACTATAAAGACTGTCATAGAGTTTCACTTGGTTGTTGTGGCTGCATCCAATATTACTGACACAAACCCAGTGATTACCACCAGTGTGTAGCACTTGAATGAAGCTGTTCCGCATCACTGGAAACTGTTCTGCCTTCCCAATTGTTGGAGACAGCAGCCCCTCGATATAAGGAAATTGGCGATGCAACAGTTCTTGGGCCATTTGTATTTGAAGATCTGTAAGCATTGCATTTTTGCCAATTATGTCTACATCTTCTTGATTCAGTTTAAATGTAGGCCTTTGCATTTTAGCAATAGATGCTTCGTCCATCCTAGCCTGTTTCAAAAACTGAACTTCGTCTTCAGCTTCTTCGGCTCCTTGCATTTTTCTTTTCGGGGCTTTTTTCTTTTTCAAGAACTTTCCTTTACTTCTTTGTTCTATTTTTTGCAGGAATGCATCTGCCTCATGCTTTCCACCACTTTCTAGGAGATCCTCAGCCTGGTTGCGTGTAATTTGTAATTGCTGACAACATAGGGTAATTAGAGCCTCTGGTAAAAGTACCTCCATTAAGTACTTTTGACTGACCTTTGGGAAGTGCTTTGCTATTAGAGTTACCATGTGATATGTTTGATTTTCCTCAAAGTCCCCAAATGGCACATTGAACTTGAGATCTACCCTTTCGATCATCTCTTTATCCCTGTCTGATAATATTCTTCCATGGAAAATTTCATGTCGCCAGCTTTCCTTGGTGCCACTGAGTACTTCTGAAAGGTGATCTTTGATTACTTTGTCAAAGCAGGAAGCAATGTCCTTCTTTGAAATGTTCTGTATTTTTTTGTTTGGTTCAAAGGGCTGGTATTTTGCCGGTTGCTGAGCCCCTGGCAGATTAGGTGGTTTTGGCTGCCTGGAAGGTGCTTGCTGATTAAGTGATGTTTGCTGTTTGGAAGGTGCTGGCTGATTAAGTGATGTTTGTTGTTTGGAAGGTGCTGGCTGATTAAGTGATGTTTGCTGTTTGGAAGGTGCTGGCTGATCAAGTGATGTTTGCTGTTTGGAAGGTGCTAGCTGATTAAGTGATGTTTGCTGTTTGGAAGGTGCTGGCTGATTAAGTGATGTTGGCTGGCTGGAAGGTGCTAGCTGATTAGGTGATTTTTGCTGGTTTAAAGGTGCTGGCTGATGAGGTGATGTTTGCTGTTTGGAAGGTGCTAGCTGATTAAGTGATTTTTGCTGGTTTAAAGGTGCTGGCTGATGAGGTGATGTTTGCTGTTTGGAAGGTGCTGGCTGATTAGGTGATGTTGGCTGGCTGGAAGGTGCTAGCTGATTAGGTGATGTTGGCTGGCTGGAAGGTGCTAGCTGATTAGGTGATGTTGGCTGGCTGGAAGGTGCTAGCTGATTAGGTGATGTTGGCTGGCTGGAAGGTGCTAGCTGATTAGGTGATGTTGGCTGGCTGGAAGGTGCTAGCTGATTAGGTGATGTTGGCTGGCTGGAAGGTGTAGGTTGATTTGGTTGTGTTGGCTGGCTAGAAGGTGCTGGCTGGTGATGTTCTTTTGGCTGCTTGGAAGGTGCTTGAAGTTTGGGGCACTTCGACCGCGGCATTGGTGTTGGCTGATTGGGTGGTACTTTTGGTTGGGGAACCTTTGTCCGTGGCATTGGTGTTGGCCGGTGGTGTGGTGCTGGCTGTTGGTGTGGTGTAGGCTGCTTGGATGGTGCTTGTTGGGATGACATTAACTGCTGTATTGTGGCCGTTTTGGTTGGCGATAGCTGCTGGGATTGTTTTGGCTGCTGCAATGGTGTTGCAGGCTGCATAGATGGTACTGGCTGCTGCGATGGCGCCTGTTGTTGATGTTGGAGTGCTGTCGCTGAATGCTGAGAAGAACAGTGAGGATGCTGCAATGGTGGTTGTGCTGTCTGCTGAGCTGTGGATTGAACCCTGTACGCTTTGAGGTCTTTCATGTTCACTATCCTTCTTAGTTTCTCGCCACTTTTTCCACGTAACCTGCAGGTTCCCTTTTGTAAGTCAACCTCTTCTATGGTGTATGGGCCAGTCCACTGGTCTTCCATTTTGTGCCCCTTTTTTGTCTTTTGGAGCATATTGCGGCGTAGAACAGCATCACCCTTCTTCAATGTGCAGTCGAAGCCTCCTTTTCTTTTTAAGAACTGCTTCTTTTGCTTTTCTTGTGCAGCTTCTATGTTTCCCTGCACTCTTGGGAAAAGTGCATCTCTTGTGGCTGTCATTTGTTGCACATGCTCCTGGAGGACATCCTCTGAGTTTAATTCCCTTGCCAGTTTTTCAATTTCGCTGGGGTCGTTATCGACGTGCTTTACATACTTTTGGACTTCAAGAGGCAAACGTGGATGCCTACCATACATTAAATAGAATGGGCTGAACTTGGTGGTGTTTGATCTGTTGGTGTTAATTGCAAAAAGAGCACCATCCGTGTACTCGTCCCAATCCTGATCGTGGTCATCCGCAATCTTCCTAAGGGTACTAAACAAAAGTGACAAGTGCAGTAAATGGCTTGAACCCAGGGGTAACATGTGAAAGTGGAGGCTGATCGTCCGGGTGAGTGTGGTCCTGAGAAGGACTGTTGTCGTTGGTAGTGACTGACGTTTCGACAACCTGTGCGGAAGTCATCATCAGAGTCAAGTGAATGATTGTTGTCGGTAGAATGTTCTTATTCCAGTTCGTGGAAAATGATTGGCACCAACCATTTTATACGAACTGGAATAAGAACATTAGGTAGGTAGTAATTAGATGATGTATTACCTGCTCTTGTAATTCTGATAATATGTAATATTTAACATCTTTGCATTCGCTTCAGTCCGTAGTTTTAACACTGGAATC